ACGTTCTTTGGCCTCGGTGCTTCCTCAGTCCCAGGCACGACATCCTGATCAGCGGCTCTAGGCGACCCTGGGACCGTACTTTGATCATCGTCACACCCCAACTCCTCTTCCCCGTCAGCATCCAAGTCCATAACCGTCCCCTCAGTTCTTTCAAGCAATGCCTCCCCCCCTGTTGTTCGATCTCTCTCTCTCGCGGCACTAGGTCCTCGGTATCCAATAGCCCCTGGCATGAGCAAGGTCTCTGCCTCGTCCGACATGTCCCTCTCTCACCCCACGGCCACGAAATTCAAGAATTACGAATTAGGCAGTACAAGTGCAGGCAAGGCAGTGCAGGTGCAGGCAAGGAAAGACAGCAGGGCACCACAGCAGGGTATAGGTGCAGGCAGGAAAGGAAGACAGGAAGAAAGACAGCAAGCAAGGTCCCAAGCAGCTAAGCGCAGAGCAGAGTCACAAAAAACAGGACAGTCAGACCGACCTCGGGAAGCCACTAAGGGGGCTCAGGCGTGCATGTCACTGCAGGGATTGTCCCAAGTAACAACCTCAGGGGGAGTTTTCCGAACGAGAGCAAGCAAAGGTTCTCGCAAGTTCGAGACCACATACAAGAGAGTTTGGGCCGAAAAACCTTGAGCCAAAATGGCTACGGCTCAAGGTTTTTCGGCCCAAACTCTCTTGTATGTGGGCTCGTAGTAGTAGTAGTAGTAGTAGTAGTAGTAGTAGTAGCAGTCGTCAGGACTAGTATTTCTAGTGATGAACGTACTCATCGCACTAAGTTACAGCAGCAAGATTACTAGCATTAGCAACTTTTGCAAGAATCACAACGGCAATCTCCGAACTATTAGTAAGTAAGACCTGCCCTCTCCCCCCAAAACAAACCTGCGCATGAAGGACTTGCATGGCCTTGAATGCTGCACAGTCTTCGTGCCTTCACCATTGCGGGGGATGTACCATGCTACAACTCATCTGTGACTCAATGCTTCCTTATGCTGCATGTTGTAACATAGCACAGCCTAGCAGACGAGAGCAAAATCTAATGTGAAATAGTATAGCCCAGCGCAACAAAAAAAAATCATCGCACGAGTGCAACAAATTACGTCTTCAAAATGGGCTTGGCTTGCCTTGGCTCGGCTTGGCTTCAGGACCTGCCAGTGCAGAATAGTGCAGACGTCTTGAACACACAGTCTTCCGAGCTTCAATGTTCGGAGTCTGCAGCCTGTATGAGTTGGGTATACCATGAGATTGCATGACGTGACTCACAATGACCTTAATTATGACAGTAACACAATGTCACAATGCAGTTTGACATGAGGTAATAGCTTTTCTGTTCCTTTCTTTTTCATTTTTCGGTTCTGTTGTTCTTTCTCTCTTTGTTACGCGCCAATGCCGCCCCTCCCCTTCAAAAATGGCACCACCAAAAAAAAGGAGCAAACCAAACACGCAATATCTTCCATCGAAGGGTTAAAGAATGTTAAAGACTAAACCGAAATAAACATGCCACGGCTGGGCAGCTGCATGGCAAAAACAAACAAATATCTCCACCAATGTGCAGGTGCAGCTTTGGCTTTGTCAGAGCCGGCCGCAGGGGCATTGTTGCCTCCCATCCTCGATGTGTGGTATATTCGCACGCCAACACGCGACTCAGACACCTTTAAGGCCACGGCTGCTGCATCATCATCTGCTGCATCATTTGCTGTTGCTGCATCATCTGTTGTGCTTGCATGGGGTTCATCATCCTCCCACCTGGCACAAACACTCCATGAAGTTGCACCGCAGAAGCAAATTGAAAGGCCTCGCAGCCTGCCGGACTGCGACGGGAGGGTATTGTTATCGGCCGCCTGTCTCTAAGAGGCGGCTGCTCCGAGTCTTGGGCCAGAAACCGCGGCATTGCACGCATGTCACGCCACCATGTGCTAACAAGAGCCTTTGCAGTCTCGAGTGCAGGAAACACTGCTAAGACCAGGCAACAATCATGAGTTACGACCACCAGCAGATACCAGAAACAAACAAGCATCCAGGATAGTATCCAGAAAAAAGCCCAAAAAGCGGAACAATGCGTCATGCGCAAAGAACACAGCATACCCCGAAGTACTGCATTAATAGCGTCTGGCTTGTGGCCGAATGAAACCAAGGTGGCAGGGTCAACCTGACTTCAGACCCGCGGTCGTGCAACACGACCAGATCTTCGTCGAGCCGCCGATCATATCCAAGTGTAGCACGCCTCGCCTTGCCTTGTCGCATTGTGTTGCGTTCGGAAAGGTGTCGGGACCTGTGAAGCCACGTCAGGTTGTTGCACAACGGAAAAATCGCCACGTCCTCTTCTGACAAGTAAAAGCTGTTGCTAATGGTAGAAAAACGCATCTGACAAATTCGAATCTGGGTCAAGTCGGCTGCTCAGAAATGGAAAAAATGGGAAAATTAAAAGAGTTTGTGTTGGCGATGGCCGTGTACAAGCTGAACTCTCTCATATCGAGGGGCGCACAGTACGCCATTGTATTCTGTAAAGAACCGAAATTTGGCCCTCTGGTGCAGCAACAACCATGGCTGCGCATGGCGGGTCGGGAACTGCGGCGGCCTCGCCCGCCGCGTCCACAAGGTGTGGATGCTCGCGCGCGCCTTGCTGCAGCTGCATCTCCTTCGGATTCTCTTCCCTCGGTGCGGGTTCTAGCGCTGTTGCGTTGGGGTCGCGCTGCATGCGAGGGACCAACGACTTCACAGAGCCATGATGAGCAAACGAGTCAGCATGCACAGCAGCAGACGGCGGCAGAGGTGCCGTTCCGGGTGAGTTGGACATGCGCATGGTGCCACAACGCGTCCTGAACCGCAGAGCACAGCTCCCTCATTCGTTCGGGCACGACAACGTAGATGTCGTCGAGTATCCTCGAATCTCGTTGACACAGCTTCACCCTCGCGGAGACTCGCCCGGACAGTGCGCAAACCTTCATGTGCTGCAAGGGAGTAAAGCCCGGGCATGAATGGATCACCGTTTTTTTGTCACACACACACACACAAACACGCACTGTTTACAGTCTACACGAGCAAATGCAGCCTACGGTGCGCCAGCGGCCATAGCAGCCTACGCGGCGCTGGGGGCCTAGGCCTTCGCCGGGAGCCGGCTAGGGGCATGGGCGTGGTAGACGCATACGGCGATCATGCCCTCGCCTGCCCGCGAACAGGGTTGGCGCCGCGCAAAAATCGTTGAGCGCGCATGGGTGC